TTACCATCTTCCCAGGTTGTAATTCTCCCAAGTAATAGATATTTTGACCAGCCAGAAGCTCCTTTGAATAATATGAGCTTGTAAATAGATCTGGACTGTTAGAAGACATTGTGATTTCTTCTAGTCAGCCCTGTTACTAACCTGATACTGTAGATATTGAAGCTAATCTAAACTGGATTTAGGATTAGCTTCAGGAAATGAGGTGATAATTTGAGAATAAGGATGGAGATCATGGTCAGCTGAGTTGATATGCTTTGACTTTCATGATTGATCTTGTGTTCCAGTGGCTTTTTTTGTGTATTTTAAAAATAGTTTTAAAATGGGTGGCATTTCCCACTGAATTTTCATGTAATAATTATGTTTGCTTTTTTCAGAAAGTTCTTAACTTTAATAACTTTTTCATATTAGCAATGAATTGCTTTTAAATATAATTTAATGTTAATATTAAGTTTACAAAGATTTTCCTGTCACTTCAGAAAAAATATTTGAAATTTTATTGAAACAATTTTTTGATTTCTGGTACTAAAGTTATTTTCATTTTTGAGTAGTGGATAGTGGCTTATTTGGTATTTATTAATGGGTCATATCGCTCAGTATATTGTCAAAATATGTATCTCTTATGCAACTTTAGAAATTTCTGTGTTCAAATATCTAAAATTAGAACAAACTGTAGTTTCTGTGTCTGATCAGTTTGCCTTAGACAGCTAAGTCAAATTTCCAAACTTTTTATGCCCAAATTTTAAAAGTTTCTTGTTAAGACAAGTTAAGAAAATCAAAATATAAATGCTCTACTACCGACTTTGACAATAACAACAAAAGAAATATCTATATATCTTTATCTGCTTATCTTAATACTTAATTTAAAATAAAATAAACTATATATGCATGGCTTCATATTTCAAAGAAATAGAGTGCATATATTTTTCAAATACACACAACCTAAATTATTATTATTATTTTTTTTTGTGGTACGCGGGCCTCTCACTGTTGTGGCCTCTCCTGTTGCGGAGCACAGGCTCCGGACGCGCAGGCTCAGCGGCCATGGCTCACGGGCCCAGCCGCTCCGCAGCATGTGGGATCCCTCCCGGACCGGGGCACGAACCTGTGTCCCCTGTATCGGCAGGCGGACTCCCAACCACTGCGCCACCAGGGAAACCCCTAAATTAGTATTTTTATACTGGGGAGATTTTTTAAATGGTGTTGCTTTATTAAATGTATTACTCATGTTATAAGAAATAGAGGTTAAGGAAAACAGAGCATCTATACAGGTTTACCTTCAGTTTTCTAGAAATGTTAGTTTTATTTTGAGTTTGGTTTTCAGTGCTTCTTTGTTTACTATCTGAAAAGTTTTCTCTCCAGAAATGACCAGGTTTGTCACAAAAGAGCCAGGAGTAATGGTTGAGGTGAAATTTCTCTCTAGAGTGTTGCCATTTGATTGTTATAATGTCTGAAACTAGTAAATATATATATATATATATATATATATATATATATATATATTTATATATATTTTAAGTTAACAAATGAACTCAACTTTGGCATCCCTCTTTTGTGAAGGCTTGACACATTGCATGGCCTAACTTGGCTAATGCTTGCTCTAGCTGTGAAATATAATTAACTGCTGATGAGAATATAAAAAGTATCTGACTTAAATGCTGCCATATTTGCATCCCAGTATGTGAATCAAACCCAGCTACCTCAATCCTTGCAACATAGCCAACTAAAAATGCAAAATCTACCTCATTTCTAACCAGGAGTATTGCTTAGAGCTGAGAACCAGTGATTAGAGGATGCAATACAATCTGTTCTGTATGAATTACTGTTAGTATTATGATAACACTGGCAGCATTGCCCTACTATGTTTAGTTTTAGGGATTTATACTAACTCTGTCATTCAAGAGAGAGAGGAAAAGGATTAGGCCTTGGGTCAGCTAAACTTTGGAAATATTTTAGCCTCAGAAGCACCTTTTTCCCCATTATAAATCGCATACTTAATGTCTTAGAATTTAAATGTTTATCCTAGATAACTGTTACACTGTTTAGGTTTTTGAAAATGTGTACGTATTTATCCCAAGTAAAGATGATGCTAGTTTTTTTCCACTGTATCATAACAAAATTTATTCAGAATTAATCTTACCTGGTCAAATGGCTGGTTAGAAATAGTGGAGATTATTTTAGAATGGTGTGATGCAAAAGGATTGAACTTGGTCAGGCGGTTTTTGTCTTTAACCATTATCATGTACTTGCTGACAAAATGCTGTTGTGAAACTGGTTTTGACCCCAAACAATGTATGTGTTTGATTATCAGGCTTGAGCAACTCTTGACTTGTTCAAAAAATAACTTACTTCCAAATGATGATTAATTCCAAATATTAATAAGGTAGTGGTAGTCAGACTAAGAAAACTTTATTCCAGATATAACCAGAAATTAGTACTGCTTCTCCACTTGTACCTGAAATATCCACCTCTGTTTAGCTCTATAACTCTGATCTGAAAACCTGAGATCTCATCTCCAATTGAAGATTTTACCTTGAGACAATGTGAGAAAAAAGTGGTCACTTCCTCCAGCTCACGTTGTGATTTTTGCTTTTCATTTTAACTTTGATAGCATGGAAATCCACCTTATTTTCACAGAGTAACTGTCTGAGTTCTTCAAGTAGCCATACCATTATCTGAACTCATTTAAACACAGGTTGTGTTACAGCTGCTCAATGAGATATTTGTGAGTCTGTGTCATATAAGAAAGCCAGTGAGTTATCACCCATGATCTGGCTTTCCTTACTGTGCTGAATGACTGAGCAGAAGACTCATCATTGAGCTAAACTTTTGATTTTCTTTGGTGGCATAAGTTTAAGCAAAGGTAGCAGGCAAGTTAAACTCATGACTGCAGTGTAAGCACACAGCAGTCTCCCTCTCATCTTTAGTGTCACTCTGAATTTATGGATGAAGCATGTGATCTCTGATACTGGCAAATTGAAGAATACCCTTCACACAATTAAAGTTACAGGAGAATTATTTGCATAGCAATCCTTTTGTTTCAGACATATATAAGTATACTGAGCTTTGATGAAAATGTTTGTCTAAAAAGTGGGGAGAATGCCTAGCACCTGGTATAGTAAATGCTCAAAACCAATTTTATGAAAGACTGTCTACTATTTGCCAAGTCTCTGTGAGGGATGCAAAGACTTAGGAAATATGGTTCCTGTTTGATAGTGTTGATGAGAAAGAAACTCTGTGTCCTGATGAAAGGACAGGTATTAGAGTTCGTTAATAAGAGCAAAATAGGCTGCATCCATAATTCAAAGGTGACACTATGAGAAACAAATAAGATAAGGAAAGGGATGCTGCAGCGTTTACATTCCGCGTGCTCTAGAGACAAATAGAGGAGCTCAGACTGAGCTGCAGTGGCCACACTCCCAGATGCCTGCATCATGGGCCCCCTTCTCATGTTCATGGTAACAGAAAACTTACATTTTACAAATGATAATCCATAATTATAGGTGAAGCAAAAGCCTCTCTTTCTCTACTTAGGAGAAATTTCTGGAGAGGAATTCAGAAAAGATTTTAATAGTGAGCCAAGGATGACATCTGAAGGGGATGGAATTGGATTGTAAAGAATGGACATTCTATTATGTCTGTGACCTTGGGAATGTCATGGGTACTACAAACTCCCTTTGTGGATTATAGTAGCTTGTGTGCCCATCTAAGTGTTCTTTTGAATCCACATTTTCCATATTGATGGTCATCACTGCATGGGGAAAGTACTAAGGACTGGTCGTAGTAGAAATCATGATCCTTTTTTGGTGACTTTTCAAAAGCATTTGTGTCCTATGAGTTTGTTGCTTTTCTTGGCCTCCGTTGCTCCCAGTGAAGGCCAAGGCCCCGTAAGTGATTGGATACTTAGGAAGTTTACCATCTAAGGGAGTCAGGGGGCTTAGGCAAAAATAAATAGCAGGAAAAAAAAGTAAGTGAGTTTTACACGTGTGGTTATTTTGCAGTAAACAGTGAGTGCTTTAAATTCAGAAGAGAGAAACTTTGGTTTGGGCTAGTTATCACTGAACGTTTAGCTCACTGGAAAATCTAAAGTAGTGTTCATATGCTTAATACTAAATCTATTAAAGTAGATTATTTTATTAAAAGTCCTAGATTATTTTATTAAAAGTTCTAGTTTATTAAAAGTGGGCTTCCCAGGTGGCGCAGTGGTTGAGAGTCCGCCTGCCGATGCAGGGGACACGGGTTCGTGCCTCGGTCCGGGAAGATCCCACATGCCGCAGAGCGGCTGGGCCCGTGAGCCATGGCCGCTGAGCCTGCGCGTCCGGAGCCTGTGCTCCGTAACGGGAGAGGCCACAGCAGTGAGGGGCCCGCGTACCGCAAAAAAAAAAAAAAAAAGTTCTAGCTGTACGTTTTTGGCTGATGATTTGGTAAATAGATTTTGGTGACTTTCTCTTAGAGATAGCATAATAAAAACTGTTTCGGCTGGCTGGAGAGTGCTATATAGAAGTTTCCCAGATAAAAGGGAGAGGAAGAGGCATGGAGTCCATTTACTAGACTCTTAAGACCTGGACTAGGATATTAGCAAAGGGAATGACAAGGAAGAGACTGTCAGTGGAAGAATTGCTGGAGCCTGGTAACTTTGGACATATGGAGATAAAGCAATTATTGACTTTTATTTAGTTTTCACGTGGCAATACGCGAATTATTTTACTTGTATTGTTTTATTTAATATTCTCAACCGTTTTATAAAATATAAGAACTGTTATCATTACAAGTTAATTAATTTGCTTAAGATCACACAGTTAATAATTATCAGAACCAGAACTTAAACCTTGGGTCTGTCTGAACCGAAGCCTTGCCATAAAGGATGCTGACTCATCAGAAACTAAAATAGTGTTGCTAACATTTTAATTTAGGAGACAGATGCCTATTAAAAGTCTTGGCTCAATGTTGATTGTTGGCATACATATAACACAGACTTTCTTCTCTTTTTCCTTTTGTTTTAGTGCGACTTCACGACAGCATATCGGAAGAGGGCTTCCATTACTTGGTGTTTGATTTGTAAGTACAACATACTTTGTGTTTGTTTATTTTTGCTGTCTATTTGAAGATCTTGAATTAAGGGTGATTTTTCTCCAAGTTACAGTCCAAATGAATGACCCTATAATATTTTTAAATGTTCTTCAAATTACATTCAACTCTAATTCTTTTGAAATGAGGCGAATGCTCAGCAGTGTTTATTTAAAATTTAAGTTAATCTTCATAAGGGAAACAGTTATGAGTCTGTTTCTTTTGGGATTGTTCATTGTGATATCATAAGTAGTTCTCGGTTTTACCTTGGGGTACAAAGATGGCTGATTATACATAAGCATAATTTTCCATTGAATTTTTTTGAAGTGTTTGTAACCTATTATATAAAAAGAAGGCTCAAGGACCCTTGAAGTTGGTTAATTCAGGGGTTCAACAACATCACCAAACTCCCATCTTTTACCCCAGCTCACTGGCTTTGTTCTCACACTGGCATGGTTCAAATTATTACATGGAGACATGGTAATTTATAGTGGAAGACATTGTCTCTCTCTCTCTTTTTTTTAAGAGTGAAAAATTCACCTAGTAAGCCTCCCATTTTTCATCTCATTGGCCAGGGCTAGGTCACATGCCTACCCCTCGCCAATCACTGGCAGGGAGAATGGAGTCATCAAGATTGACTTAGACTAATCAGGATTTATAAACCAAGCTTCTATCAATAAGAATGAAGGGAAAACAGTGCTTTTGGGGAGCAGTCCACAGCATCCCCTCTGGCTGGATGGGGTATAGTGAGACAGGCCATACACATTGCTGCTAGGGGTTAAATAAGAACACACTTTCTGAAAATCAAATTGATACTCCATATCAAAAATGTCCATTTCATTTAACTTAGTAATTTTCCTTCTCAGAACAAAGTACAGAGAAAGTATTACCCTAAATTCAGATAAAGTTTATACTGAAAGCTGTTTATTGCATTGTCCTTTATAGTGGGAAAAAAAAGAAAACCAACTTATAAATCCAATAATGGAATCAGTTGCATAAATACAGTACATTCATATGATGGACTTCTCTGTAGTATTTAATGTGATATTTGGGGAATAGATAAGAAAAAAATTATTATTTCATGTAAAATGTGTCTAATGACAGGTTAGTACTAAGTTTGGTTAATTCAGCCCTCCAATGATGTCATTAAGAAACCAAGTTCATTCCATCTTTCTCTGTGTTCTTTGTAGTATGTGGGTTTGTCCTCACCCTCAGGTTCCCCTTAATGTTCTCAAGTTTGCTGCCTCATTTTCAGGTATCACAGTGACTTCCAAAGGCAGAAGAAAAGGAAAGATTAATCCCATTGCATATATTTTTATGTATAGGGAAAACCTTTCCCAGCAGTCCCTCAGAAGATAGCTGATAATGAATTATTGTTTAGAATTGCTTCTCATGCACATGTCTGAACCAAGTAGTAGTAAAGGGGATAGAATTACAGCAATTGGCTTTGACCAATCATATATTCAATCTGTAGCAGGAAGGGAAGTCTTGCCTGTTGGATAGGCAACCAAACATGTCTGCCATATTGGTGTTCCACATACTTGCTAGAGAATAGACACTAAATCTCTGGATACGCACAGTCCTACTGCACAAGGTTCTTTCCACAGTCACATTCCATTCATGGCTTGTTCATGTGGCTGTAGGTTGGCAACACTCCAAGTTGCACTAGTTCTTCTTTTCAAGTCTTTCTCAAAGCTCATATTTTCACTTTTACCGTTGTTTTTTCTTGATGTTCCAGCATTCCTTCTTTTATTATTTCCTTTCTTTAAGAATTTCCTGTAGCTATTCGTTTAGAGTATAGATGTGCTAGCAACAGATTCTGTTTTCCTTTTCTGAGACTGTCTTTATTTCCTCTTCATTTGAGAAGGATATTTTTGCTAGATATAAAACTCTAGGTTAACGGTAATTTTCTTTCAATGTTGGGCCAATTCCTTCTGGATTCTTTTGTTTTTCATAAGAAATCTTCTATCATTCTAGTTGCTTATCCCCTAAAGATAAGGTATTATTTCTCTCTGGCTGCTTTAAAAAATGTACCTTTGTCTATAGTTTTTAGAAGTTTGACTATGGTGTGTGTCTTGCCTTGAATTTCTTAGAGTTTATCTTATTTGAGATTCACTTAATCTCTTGAGTATATAGATTTATGCCAAATTTAGGAGATTTTTAGACGTTGTTTCTTTGATTGCTTTTTCAGCCTCACTTTCTCTTCTCCTTCTGGAACCCTGATGACATGAATGCTAGATCTTTTGTTATAGTCGCATAAGTCCCTGAGACTCTGTTCAATTTTTTTTTTTTTCCCCCGGTACGCGGGCCTCTCACTGTTGTGGCCTCTCCCGTTGCGGAGCGCAGGCTCCAGATGCGCAGGCCCAGCGGCCATGGCTCATGGGCCCAGCCGCTCCGCGGCATGTGGGATCTTCCCGGACCGGGGCACGAACCCATGTCCCCTGCATCGGCAGGCGGACTCTCAACCACTGCACCACCAGGGAAGCCCCTCTGTTCAATTTTTTAAAAATTTATTTTATTTCTTTTGTTCAGATTGGGTAATTTATATTCTCTTTTCAAGTTCACTTATCCTTTCCTCAGTTGTTTTCCATTCTGCTGTTGAGCTCATCAGTTGAGTTTTTAAAATTTTATTAGCTACTGTGTTTTTATCAGTTCTACCATTGACTTTTGGTTGTTTGGTGTATCCTCTATTCCTTTGTTGAGACTTCCTACTTTTTTTTCATTTAAGTGTGTTCATAATTGTTCACTGAAGCATTTTCATTATGGCTGACTAAAAAACCTGTCAGGTAATTCCAACAGCACTGTCATCTTGGTATCTGTTCATTGTTTTTTCTCATACATATTGAGATTATCCTGATTCTTGGTATGATGAGTGATTTTGTATTATATCCTGGACATTTTGGGTATTATGAGACTCTGAATTTAATTTAAATCATCTTTTTAACAGTCCTCCTCTGATACCACAATGACAGAGGTGAGGAGGTACCATCTTATTACTGACAGGTGGGGGTAGAAGCCCAGGTTTCCTACTCAACCCCAATTGACGCCCCTGGGAAGTACCTCTTTACTGCTGTGCAGGGCTGAGAGCACAGGGTTTTGGTTTTTTTTCTTTATTTAGTGAGAGAAATGCCTCCACCCCATTTTTTTAGACATGTGATTTCTTGATAGGTCTAATTTGTCAGATCTCCTTTACAGTATAATCAAGGGTATGGCATTATACATTGGGATATGTCCTTCATGCTGTGATGAGTACTAGAATTAAAAAAAACACTTTTGCTAATGCTCATTACCTAAACCACCATTCAGAACTGGGTTTATTTTTTAATTTAATTTATTTATTTTTAAAATGTATTCATTTTATTTATTTTTATTGAAGCATAGTTGATTTGCAATATTATATTAGTTTTAGGTATACAGATTGTGATTCAGTATTTTTATAGATTATACTCCATTAAAAGTTATTACAAGATAATGGCTGTAATTCCCTGTGCTATACAATATATCCTGTTGCTTATCACGTAGTAGTTTGTATCTCTTAATTCCTAACCCCTAATTTGCCCCTCCCCCTTCCCTCTCCACTTTGACTAATTGGGTTTAATCACAGCTCAGTCAGAGAGAAAAAATTTTTTCTCTACCTTCTTATGTTCAATGCATGAAGGCATGTGAGTTAAACTAAGAAAAGATAGTGATTAACAGGAGAAAAGGCACAACATTTTTATTAATATTTATGTGCACATGAGCTCACAGCAGAGAAGTGAAATTGGAAGAAGCAATTAGACTCAGGGTGTCAACTCCTTGTCTTAGATGGTAAGAATTGCTTAGATGGAAGCAGACACCTTCCTCAAAGGGAAATTTATGTCCTGCTTTTAGGCAGATTAAGGGCATGGAGTGGAGAATTCTTCCTGTATTTGCTGATTCTCACTTGCCTTTAGCTCAATATAATCCTTATGCCAAAGTGGCATATTTTGGCAGGGCATATCCTGATCCCCTTCAGCTCCAAAAAGCGATTCAGTGTTAGGCCAAATATAAAAGAAAGAGGCATCCTTCTTCCCATGCCATGCCGCTTTTCCACAGTCATCAAGTTATTTATATCCATGTTTTAAATATTATAGATTTTTAAAGGTAAGATTTCCTTTACTAAATGCAGGGAATGATAAGAATCACATTGTTTATAATAACGTTTATTTTTAAAGTGCACCATTTTTTAAAAAATTCAGCACTTAGTGATTGGTGCAGAACATATAAAGAAAGCATTTCATTTGAAAACAAAATAAGATTTTTAATTACAGTGGATCATATCTGAAGCAATGATATTTGTTTGTGCTATTAATGTCTCTGAAACCAAAATGTAGAGTTTACGTTTGAACCATAGTAACATGAGAAATCTGCTGTTATTTTGAAATCTGTTGCAATTATTCTTCAATGTTTAAAGTTTAAGAGGAGAGTTATCAGTAATTCTCATCAAAATGCTCTTCCAGTAAATGAGATTAATAAGCTAGTTAAACACAGTCCAGCAAAGCACCCAGCTTTAGCCACAGTTGGAAACAATGGCTAAAAGTGTAGGTTTTCAATGACTAAAAAGAGATTATAACAAATATAAATAAATAATTCCTCTAAATTATTTAATTGTGGTGGTGGTATTCTAGGAAGAAGAAAAGTAAGTAGCTTTAGAAAAATGCACATTTTAAACATAGTTAATTTAAGAAAAGTATGATCTTAAAGATATCAATGAAATACTCATGGAAAAATTGGAAGTCACTTTGCCAATCAGTTCCAAGATAAAATAACTACTTGAATTCCTGAAGAAGGAATGTTCTCTGTGTTTGTCCTTTTGATGCTGGTTTTGGCAATGTGGTACTTGTGCATACTTCCTGTGGAATGTGAGCTATTCAGAATCTAATGGGAAGTTCTATTTTTATAGGTGTGTTGAGTCGTCTTCTAATGGAATTCTTTCCTTTTCTAAAAAGCAAAACAGAAGGGGCCATGAGTTC